TTTTAGTATCATACTTGGATACATTTTTACTGAACGTGGGTCACTGTAATGGATCAGTCATAAAAAGTAATGGATTGTTTCCTGTTTCTGCCAGCTGATTTGATCTCTAAAGTTAATTGTAAACTGTGTGTTACATAACTGGTATGGAATCTGAGTTCTACATTCTTACGGTTAACAGTGATTACATTAACTGTTAGTACCCTCCAAATAATTGAAAACAGATTCTTCAGCAAGAGTCAAACAATCTTCAGAATATGCTTCTTAGAAGTGGAAGTGAACTTCCACCATTGATTGTGTCGCTAACACACAATGAGCCAGCGAGTCATTTGTGAGCCAGTTCCGGTTTCTGATAGTAAATCAGTTTTGTCAATGGACTACTAGAATGTTGCTGTTCTAAAACTGTAGCATCTCTGTGAAATGATATACACAAAGATAACTTGTATATTTACAGCCAAGATACCTGATGAGCTTAAAGCAGAATTCACCTACTATGGCAAGTCAGGTTTCTTCTTTAAAAAAAAAAAAAGTATAACAGTCCTTTTTTATCACTTCAATACCTGTACATATGCTTTCACATTCTTCTTCCTGCCCTCCCAAAGGAAAGAAGGGAGGGAGGAAGAGGGAAAGGGAAAGGGAAAGGGAAAGGAAGAGGGAGAGGGAAAGGAAAAGGGAAAGGGAGAGGGAGAGGGAAAGGAAAGGAAAGGAAAGGAAAGGAAAGGAAAGGATTAGTTTAATGACCAAGGAAGAGTTAATGATCATTTTACGTTTAGAAAACAGAGGCATGAAGGTTTAGAAAACAGAGGCATGAAGGGCTAAGTGACCTGAACAAGGAGATTCAGAGTCATTTGCACAGTCTAGAATTGAATAGAACATAGGAATCCTGAATGTTTCTTCCCTGCTCTAGCCATAAGACTTACTACATATTAATATAATAATATTTTTTCTATGTGTCTTGCTTGATTTGGCACTGTGAGAAATCTGTCCCAAAATATAAAGAATGATTTCCATACACTGAAGGTCAAGTAAGCCTCTATGCTTTAGTTAATGCTATTAATAATTATTATAATACTTAGCATTTACACAATGCTTTACATTGTCAAACTGCCTATTGACATTTAAAAGCTGGCTCTGTAAGTTTTAGTTATTTTTGTAGCATAAAACATATTGATATATTTGGTTTGTCTAAGTCTGTAGTTCTCAACTGGTGGTCCATGGACCACTGGTGGTCCATGGTGACTTTTTCGGTGGTACACAGGAACATTGTCCAAAGTCACACAGCGTAAGTGGGCGCCGCCATTAGGCTGTTTTACGCCGTGTTCACAAGCACGTGGCGCTTCATCCATAGCGTCACCTAGGATGCAACTGCATTGTGTTGCCAGTAACTTCCATCTGAGGCTCTGAGCATTAGTGTAGTTGCTGCCGTCGTGCTGAGTGGTTGCTGTGTCATTCGTCCTGTGCTACATGTGCTGTTTTATAGGTGTGGTGTAGTTTGTTTATATTAGCAACGACTGGAAGAAATGTCAAGCGCAAGTATTCGGAGGACTACATCAAATTTGGCTTCACTTGTTAAGAAAAAGAAGGTATAGATTTGTTCTGAACACCAGGCTGTTCAAAAGATTTTGGCTGGACATGGGTTCTGACTTTGATGTGTTGCTGTTCTACACTTCTGTACGGTGGTTGTCAGCAGGGAACGTACTCAACAGAGTTTTCAATTGAGAGAGGAGTTGGATTTATTTCTCCAGGCTCAAGGGAAAGAGTGTGCTGACATAGTCAAATTTAGAACTTGCATATCTTGTCGATATTTTTGGAATCTTGAACAAACTGAATCTTCAGCTGCAAGGGAAAGGTGCAAATCTGTTCTCTCATCAAAGCATCATCAATGCTTTTCTTGACAAATTGGAACCCTGGATCGTAAGAGTGGAAGGCAATAATTTGGTTCAATTTCCATATGTGGATGCCATGCTCGGGGAAATGGAAGCCATTCGGACGCAAATTCTCGATCATTTATGGAAGCTACCAGACGAATTCCAGCGATATTTTCCGGAGGTGGACAGGACAAGGGATGGATTATCTTTCATCAGGAATCCATTTACAACAGATGTTAATAGTGTTCCAGAGGATCTGCAGAAGGAATTCTTGGATCTGAAAAATGATTTTGCCGCTCAAAATGTGTACCAGCAGTCTATCACCAAATTCTCGATCATTTATGGAAGCTACCAGACGAATTCCAGCGATATTTTCCGGAGGTGGACAGGACAAGGGATGGATTATCTTTCATCAGGAATCCATTTACAACAGATGTTAATAGTGTTCCAGAGGATCTGCAGAAGGAATTCTTGGATCTGAAAAATGATTTTGCCGCTCAAAATGTGTACCAGCAGTCTATCACAGAGAAATTTTGGGCCAGCGTGACCGGGAGTTACCCAAATCTGTCAGCACACGCAGTCAGATTTCTTTTGCCATTTGCATCAACTTATATATGTGAGACAGGATTTTCGTGTTTGTTGCACATTAAGTCCAAACAGAGGAATCGGCTTGCAGTGGAAAGCGATATTCGTTGTGCATTATCAAGTACCACTCCAAACATTGAAAAGCTTGTCAGTGAGAAGAGAATCCAAAAATCTGTTAGTAAGAAATAAATTTCAAACCAAAATGTTTGTTGTCTGCTCTTTTTATCATGTCTCAAAAAGGAGGTGGTCCACGAAAATTTTTTGTTTGGCCTGGTGGTCCGTGGACTGAAACGCATTGAGAACCACTGGTCTAAGTGCATTCTCCTATGCAAATGTGGTATTCTGTATGTAGTGTGAGATCTGTTCTTGACACTTCATATATTAATAAAATATCATAAATGTGTTAGATGTTAGATATTTTCATTCTGATAAATTGCAGTTTCTTTCCATTCAAAATAAAGGTAATTGTATACTACAGTGCAGTTTCTGCACGGAACAGAAGCAACATATTGTTCCTATGAGTATTTGTATCAACATAATAAGACAATTTAAATAATGGTTTGTATTTTTGTCTGTTTTATTTTCATGTTATCTGCAAATAAGTTAAAAGTGAACTGTGTCTTCAAACAAATCTGGGAAATGGACTTTAAAATCCAAGTTCTCAGTGCTAGCAGAGAGCTAATGAACAGTTGTTGTGTGGTTGAGAAATACATATATTTTAAAGCTCTCTTTGTATTGTGTGCAGAACATGCACGCACACACATACACAAGAAATGTGCCCTTAAATCCCTCATAGTTCCACCTTTTATACTTGATATAGTACTATTTAAAAAAAATACATGTCAGTAGCAGCACAGTACAGGAAAGAAGAGGTCTTAACTACTTTCTAGGTTTTTCCTTCTCCTGCCCCTAAACTTTAGCAACTTTTCTCAAAGCAGCTAATCCTGTATGTATAAACTGTATTGTCATAGGATTAATGTGTGGCTGGGAACAATGGGTCAAATCTGCTTTAGATCACAAAAGTTTGAGTTCAGCGCCTAACTGATATATCACAAAACTACTACATAATTTAGTACAAGTTGCATTCCTATTCCCCAGCTGTTAGTTGTCTAATAAAAAGAGGCCCAGGGTTGCTTTTCATTGAAAAAATATATATATATATTTGTCCAAAATCAAGGTAGTATCAACTGGAAAAGTGGTAGGGCATTCTTAAAATGTTCGTGCCTTCAACATAAATAACTCTTTCAAAGTCCAATATTAAATATAGTATAGAAAATATGTTGTGGTCTATTATTGGCATTTTTCCATATTTCTTTAGTTACCTGATCCTGCAAGTTATTCCACATGGCTGGGCCACCAAGCTATAACCAAAGTCAGTAGGGCTGTACATAGGCTAGGCATCCACCCTTGCAGAGCAGTTTGCAGAATCTGTGCCTAATAGAGAGGGAAGATAATTAATTTGCTTCTTCTGCATTTATAAAGAGTACATTGTGAAATACAGCTGGTCTCCCATAATTACCTAGCACTTTAACATCCATAGTATCTTTGGCTTATTCTGCCTCCTTTGTACTACTGTCAGCTGTCACACTTGTATATGTTTACAGGTGTTTCCTAAATGAAAATTCGTGTGATAGTCCAATTTACTTGAAAAGGAAATAACATCCCACAGTAGATTGCTGAAATATATTCTCTAAGAATTTTTATACAATCTCCTCAACCAAATAGAATTTAAAAATAGACCTAAGTAAAATGTTTCCACTTAATGGTTCATAGTATTTTTTCTTTGTAGTCTGAGATCAGAGTAACTTCAGTCCTTATGAATTAAAATCACCATGTGGCTTAAAAATGCATATGTCATAGTACCAAATTGTGATCTGTGTTATGCAACAATATACTGGTCCCAGTAAATGTGCTGTGTCCTAACACAGTGGAATCCTGGTCCATGACCATGACTCTTTGGTGGTATTTATTGGTAATATTAATAAATAACAGTACTGATCTTATTTGTAACTGTAGTTATAGCCCCATTTTACTATGGTTTGATCAACCTTTTTTTTTACAGTTGCACTATTCACTAAAAAGACAATGATGCGATGACAACTTTAATTTTAAAAAATCAATGTTCTCCTGTAAGGAACAAATAAAATCATTCAATAAAAAACCTACAAAGTCATAAAAAAATTACTTTTCCTGCATACTGCCCTCTTGTGGTATCACCATCATCTCTACATAACAATCAGCTGTGTTTATAGCATTGGGCACTTCTAAATTGTACTTTGAGCCTGATCTAGCAAGGTACTGAGCACCCCCAACTCCCATTGAAGTCAGTGGGAGATGAGGCATCTCAGTATCTTACAGATTCAGACTCTTAATTGCACCCTCCTAACAAAATTGGCATTCCATGTCGCACATCAGTGTTTTTGGAAATGAATAGTGCATCTGACAAACTTCATTTCATTGAAAAAGAAGCCTTGTTTAAAAAAAAAATCTTCCAGAATTTAATACATTGCTAGAAGACGTTCCTGATCGTTTCTTTTCACGGCTGTACAGGTTCTCCGCTCTGTGCTGTTGTTTCCAACAATAGAACGCATGGCTCAGTCCCCACAAGGCAAGCTCCTGACGCCTGTATTGTGCAAGCTGCGGTACATGCTGTACATGCCTGTCTACCTGCTGTCATTTCTCCCAGAAAGAGTCAAAACGTCCATGGTGCGGTTTGTGCTGCGAGGACTGAAATGTCCTGATGAAGCTTCAATAATTACCTCCCTAAATCTCTTCAGTGTGGATTGTGTTGGTGAGCAGATTTTTTTTCTTTTTACTGTATCTATTTGCTATTCTACTACTTCAACAAACAGATGGCTAGCATGCTATATAGGGCATGAGACTTTAAAAATGAACTTGACATCAAAACAGGAACAAATCCCTGAAAAAAATTGAGAGAGAGGCAGGATTTGTCTGTGTCCTGAAATTTTTTTTTTCCTCTCAAGTAAAGAATTCTGGAAAGGATATAGAGAAAATTGACCCTGGTCATAAAATAGTGCTCTGACTAGATCCATAAAACGATCCACTATATTTGGAGTTTTAAGGACCTTATCAGAACTGGGGAGTGAATGAAATTGGTCATATGTCTTGAAAAATACTTTTCTTACAGGGAGACTGTTAGGTTAAAATTATATTTTCCCAAAAATGTATTTAAAAAGAAATCTTTACCTGGACAATTAACATCTTACATTATTAAAAAATAATAAAGTAAATATAATTTACTTTACACCTTTTGTATTTTTGTTATTTTTTCACTTTATGCCATTTAGACAATGACAATGAAAATTTGGACATTTGATCCTGATTTTTGTTTTGATTTTTTTCCTTCTCGTTGTAATTAACATTACAAAGTCCTTTGCATGATGCTGATAAATCCAGAAAAGAAAATTCTGCTGACATTTACACACGAGTAAGTTTACACATGTGAGGAATTTCATTAATGCTTTACACTTTCAAATTTTAAAATTCTCCAAAGGCAGAAAATCAAAATTCTTTGCATGTTGTGGCATGCTGTAAAATAAAATAAAATGTATACTTTATACATCTTTTATGGACAAAACCAGCTTCCAGGTAAGGAATTATTCACCAAAATTTTTCTAAGCATTCAAAAATCAAAATCAAAAGCATATTGCGCTGTTTTCCACATTATTTCAGTAAATTAATGGATGAAAATGCCTTATTGCAGAAATTGACATGTGGCGATCAAAAGAAGTGAATTTTGTTTTTATATTCATCTTTTAGAGACAGTCTGATATGACAATTAGATTTTCCAGTGTGTCCTGCCTTCTAGGGGCATGTCTGTACTACATGGAAGATCAACGCTGCCACTGTCAATCTTCCAAGGTTTGATTTAACGGGTGTAGTATAGACCTACTAGATTGAACTCAAAGAGCACCAATGTCAGCGCCAGTACTCCTACTCCTCATGAGGTGTAACGGAAGCTGATGGGAACATTTGCTCCCCTCAGACTTCCTCTATATGAATGGTACGGAACCATGATGTAAGATACGTCGACTCCAGCTATGTAATTTACATCACTGTAGTTGCATATCTTACTTTGACCTTCCTATGTAGTGTACGACCAGGCCTAAGAGATTGTTTAGATCCCAGTGCTGAAAACAGCTGTGCAAGGGGAAACCGAGTCCCACAGTTTTCAGTGCAACTCTGTGAAGGTGGAAGAGTCTGAACTAATTCATCATGCACAAGATCTAGGCTTAGAACGTAAAATGTCTGAACAGGGAATGTCTTGTCTCTGCTGGGCAGTGCCAAATGCATTGTTATATATACTCCCTAGTCGGCAATTAGGTCAATCAAGTTACAGGGGAATGTGAGTACTTGGAACCTCATAGAGTTACTCTCAGAGTTACTGAATATTGTTCTCTAGATAAGGGGTATGTCATCTTTTACAGGAGTCATCAACTTAGGAAGTAAGTGTACGGTCACAGCAGGACTAAGCAGTCTCTGCTGGAAACCCTGTGAGACCCTGGGGTAGCGGGTGGGCAGCAATATGGACAACTTTTGAGGGGCCAGCAGCAGGGCAGGGAGCTCAAGGGAGAGGAGCCTAGGAGCCAGGCAGCCAGCAGAGGAGCACTGACCTCCCCAGGTCCAGCAAACTATCTGGTCGAGGACACCTCAGATCCCAAGGGTACCAGACCAGGGAGGTCCAGCCTGTAGATGCTTTACTTTATCTAGCATCTTCCTACACAAAGGCCAGGTCTACACTAGACCCAGAGGGTTGGCTTAAGGTACGCAAGTCCAGCTATGTAGACTGTGTAGCTGGAGTCAGCTTACCTTAAGCTGAGCTTGGGGGCATCCCCACAGTAGGAGGCCAATAGGAGCAAACACTCCCGTGGGCTTCCCTTACTCCTTGCAACTGTAAGGAGAACAGGCATCAGCCAGATCTGTCCTCAGCGTTCAATTTACGGGTCTTAACTAGACCTGCTAAATTGATGTCAGAAGGTCAGTCTCTGGCGCGATGAGTGAAGATGTGTCCAAAGAAACCATTCAGACATGAGCAGCCAAGGACACAATCCTCAGCTGCTGTAAAAGTAGTGTAGTTCCATTTATTATTTATCTGAACCAGCTAAATATCTGGCCCTCTGACATCGGTCTTAAAAACTCTTACGTAAGTGGGTCTTACTCATGTGACCATTAATTGGGCTGCATTGTGCCATCTGTTTTTAAGCAGAATTCCCTATTGACTTCAGCAAAAAGTACTGTTTGGAAACTCATGGCGCTTTGTGCCCTGTTTACTTCAAAGGAACTACATCCATACATCACTTATACCTGAACAAGTAGGCTGCGTCTAGACTGGTTGCTTTTGCGCAAAATCTTGCCGCCTGTCTACACTGGCTGCGAGCATTTGTGCAAGAACACTGACTTTGTAATGTACAAAATCAGTGGTTCTTGCACAAATACTCCAACGCTCCCACTCAGGGATAAGCCCTCTTGTGCAAGTAATTCTTGCTCAAGAGGGCCAGTGTAGACAGCCACGTTAATTTCTTGCACAAGAAAGTCCGATGGCTAAAATGGCCATCTTTTGCATAAAGGCGCATGCCAGTCTAGACGCTCTTTTGTGGAAATACTTTTAATGGAAAAACTTTTCTGTTAAAAGTATTTGCGCAAAATCATGCAGTCTAGATGCAGCCGTAAGGTTTTACAGAGCCAAACCTGGAGGCCTTTTTGTAGGTTCACAAACAAAAAAGAAAAAAGGATTATATAGCATGATCATCAGTTCAGCAAAAATATATTTAGCTCAGCAATCTGGCTTGTTTAAATCCTGTTGTACATAACTACTCATCTATAAACCAGTGTAGTATATGAAACTGTTAAAAAAGTTGTTCTGATTGACTCCCCTGTCCTTTTAATAAGGTATTAAATATGATTAAAAATGTTCTGAAAATGAATTTGTTTCTCCTCTCCAGAAAGTTTGTGTTGACTCATTAAAAATACACATATTACCTTTGGCACATACATATGTTGAATTACTGCAGTTGCAATAAAAGCTATGATTAAGGGCAAGAAAAAAGGGTAAAAATTTCCTTAAAAGTAATGTATCCATTAAAACAAATTAAGCTGCCAGGGATTCATTACCACATCCAAAGCTTAGTCACAACAATGTGTTTTCTCTCCGCTGAAAGGAAATGAGATTTATAAAACTTAATTATAACAAGAGTTTGAGTTCCAATCACATTTTCACAGGAGTCAAGAGTAAATCTTCTTTCAGAGGGAGCAAAAAGAGGTCCTTAATGACTTGAGAATAGTCACCCATGAAGGTGAGTGTTTGGAGATAGGAAGGTTGCATCCTTTTTACCCACCCTGCTACTGATTGAAAATATATTTGCTTCTACATCAGGGGTCTCAAACTCACAGCTTGTGGGCCATCTGAAGCCCAAGCAGTTCCATAATCCAGCCCGCACATTGCTGCTAACACATGAATCCCTATGGTCCAGATGGGAGTGGAGGTGTCTGTGCCCTTCCCCAAGTCCAGCACCTGCTCCACCTCTTCCTGCCTCTGCTCCACCCTCCCTCATCACACCCCTTTTCTTCAGCCTCCTCCCTCAATGGACTCTGCTTTGGACATTACTAGGGGGGGCACCTCCCCCCTGCACTCATCATAGCGATGGGAGCTGCAGGCAAGCGGAGATACGCACCAGCTTCTGTGCTGCTCCACTGCCATCTCCCAGGCAAGCCTCCCTGCTTCACCATGGAAGTGAGCACCCAGCCCTAGAGCTGGCGGTGGAGCAGAACAGAGGTCCACTTCCTTGTTTGTTTAGGAACCCTCCATTAAAGATCAGGTATTAGGCACTGTACAGACATACAGGGACAACAAAACAATAGCCCCTACTCCAGGGACCTTACAATGTACTACCAGACAAGAGGCAGCAAGAGAACAAACAGATAAATGGGCAGGGGAAGGGTGGAAGAACAAGATAACAAAATAATATACTGTACCTATAAAGGTGCAAGCCTACAGTCTTGAAAGCAGTTTGCTGAAGATTTGACTCCAAATAAGCAAAAAATTACAGTGAAGCATTCTGAGGAAAGACATTTAAAGCAAAAATATTATAAACTGCAAACTAATTTTAGGATATTGAACCAAGTGTTTCAAACCTGCACTAGTGAAGAGATAGAAAAAATGTTACAGTACTGAGTGTGGGTCTTTATTGGCCTTGCCGTTATCTGAAACATAGACAATCATTAGCTTAGCAACTAAAAATTAATTTGTAAATTCTCCTACCTAATAAAAATAATACTATAAAACTGGCCTTGTTCTTCAATACTGGAACATTTATGTCACTGCACTGTTTTGAAATCTAAATGCATTTCTTCTGTGACATGGAAATAAGCCCTTATGGTGATAGTAAACTACTCTATCCACATAGGACAGGATTTATTGTCCACTAGTTTGACTGGCAAACTTCCTCCATTTGTTTCTGTAAAATTTCCACAAAAGCACAGACATTACATAATGGGTAAACACTGCAAGGCTTTTTAGAGAGGCAGGCTTGTAGGTCAGGGGTTAACGTCTGGATGACAGTGAAGATACAGATAAGCACAATAGCAAGAAAAACCTCCAAATGGCCCATATGCTCTGTCATCCTTTGTGATCTTGAACCTGTGACTTCTCTTGAGGAATCTCCCTGTTTGTTTAACCTGTTTGTAGGCCCAGGGAGTAGCTAGACTCCGTGGAGGGGAGAGTTTGCTTTCTGGGATTTGAAAAGGATTGGGAAGAGTGAGAAAATCCCAACT